CGTTGTCATGCTGGAAGACCCAGCCACGACCCATCTTCAATGCTCTTACTGAGGGAAGGAAGTTGTTGGCCAAGATCTCGCGATACATGGCCCCATCCATCCTCCCCTCAATACGGTGCAGTTGTCCTGTCCCCTTTGCAGAAAAGCATCCCCAAAGAATGATGTTTCCACCTCCATGCTTCACGGTTGGGATGGTGTTCTTGGGGTTGTACTCATCCTTCTTCTTCCTCCAAACACGGCGAGTGGAGTTTAGACCAAAAAGCTCTATTTTTGTCTCATCAGACCACATGACCTTCTCCCATTCCTCCTCTGGATCATCCAGATGGTCATTGGCAAACTTCAGACGGGCCTGGACATGCGCTGGCTTGAGCAGGGGGACCTTGCGTGCGCTGCAGGATTTTAATCCATGACGGCGTAGTGTGTTACTAATGGTTTTCTTTGAGACTGTGGTCCCAGCTCTCTTCAGGTCATTGACCAGGTCCTGCCGTGGAGTTCTGTGCTGATCCCTCACCTTCCTCATGATCATTGATGGCCCACGAGGTGAGATCTTGCATGGAGCCCCAGACCAAGGGTGATTGACCGTCATCTTGAACTTCTTCCATTTTCTAATAATTGCGCCAACAGTTGTTGCCTTCTCACCAAGCTGCTTGCCTATTGTCCTGTAGCCCATCCCAGCCTTGTGCAGGTCTACAATTTTATCCCTGATGTCCTTACACAGATCTCTGGTCTTGGCCATTGTGGAGAGGTTGGAGTCTGTTTGATTGAGTGTGTGGACAGGTGTCTTTTATACAGGTAACGAGTTCAAACAGGTGCAGTTAATACAGGTAATGAGTGGAGAACAGGAGGGCTTCTTATAGAAAAACGATCAGGTCTGTGAGAGCCGGAATTCTTACTGGTTGGTAGGTGATCAAATACTTATGTCATGCAATAAAATGCAAATTAATTACTTAAAAATCATACAATGTGATTTTCTGGAGTTTTGTTTTAGATTCCGTCTCTCATAGTTGAAGTGTACCTATGATAAAAATTACAGACCTCTACATGCTTTGTAAGTAGGAAAACCTGCAAAATCGGCAGTGTATCAAATAATTTTTCTCCCCACTGTATATAGGTTATAAGTTAAGAACTTTTGTCAAAGAGCACAGTTTGAAAGATATGGCAAATAGAAATCAAACCGGATGGACATCAGAAATAGATGGGACAGGTTGAGGGTAGAGGAAGGACAGGAGTAAAAACAAACAAAATAAAACTATTGTAAAATAGACTTTGTCCATAAAATGTATATCAAATCAAATTGTATGTCACATGCGCCAAATACAACAAGTGTAGACCTTACAGTGAAATGCTTACTTACAAGCCCTTAACCAACAATGCAGTTTTTTAAGAAAAATAAGTGAAGTAAAAAATAAGTAAAAAAAATATATATATAAAAAGAAATAACTGATAATTAAAGAGCAGCAGTAAAATAACAGTAGCGAGGCAATATACAAGGGGTACCGGTACAGAGTCAATGTGCGGGGGCAGAGGTTAGTCGAGGTAATTGAGGTAATATGTACATATAGGTAGAGCTAAAGTGACTATGCATAGATAATAAACAGAGAGTAGTAGCAGCGTAAAAGGTGGGGTGGGGGGTGGGGGGACGACAATGCAAATAGTCCGGGTAGCCATTTGATTAGCTCTTCAGGAGTCTTATGGCTTGGGGGTAGAAGCTGTTAAGAAGCCTTTTGGAGCTAGAATTGGCCCTCTGGTACCGCTTGCTGTGCGGTAGCAGAGAGACCAGTCTATGACTTGGGTGGCTGGAGTCTTTGACAATTTCTAGGGCCTTCCTCTGACACTGCCTGGTATAGAGGTCCTGGATGGCAGGAAGCTTGGCCCCAGTGATGTACTGAGCCGTACGCACTACCCTCTGTAGTGCCTTGCGGTCGGAGGCCGAGCAGTTGCCATACCAGGCAGTGATGCAACCAGTCAGGATGCCCTCGATGGTGCAGCTGTAGAACATTTTGAGGATCTGAGGACCCATGCCAAATCTTTTCAGTCTCCTGAGGGGGAATAGGCTTTGTCGTGCCCTCTTCACGACTGTCTTGGTGTGTTTGGACCATGATAGTTTGTTGGTAATGTGGACACCAAGGAACTTAAAGCTCTCAACCTGCTCCACTACAGCCCGTCGATGAGAATGGGGGCGTGCTCGGTCCTCCTTTTCCTGTAGTCCACAATCATCTCCTTTGTCTTGATCACGTTGAGGGAGAGGTATGTATAAGCTGGAAGTAGAGGCCTAAGCATTGTGTCACCAGCAAAGCACCCCCACACCATAACACCACCTCCTCCATGCTTTACGGTGGGAAATACACATGCGGAGATCATCCGTTCACCCACACCTCATATCACAAAGACACAGCGGTTGGAACAAAAAATCTCAAATTTGGACTCAAGACCAAAGGACAACTTTCCACCGGTCTAATGTCCATTGCTCATGTTTCTTACCTCTGCTGCAGAGGATAAGTTCATTAGAGTTACCAGCCTCAGAAATTGCAGCCCAAATAAATGCTTCACAGAGTTCAAGTAACAGACACATCTCAACATCAGCTGTTCAGAGAACACTGTGTGAATCAGGCCTTCATGGTCGAATTGCTGCAAAGAAACCACTACTAAAGGACACCAATAATAAGTAGAGACTTACTTGGGCCAAGAAATACGAGCAATGGACATTAGACCGGTGGAAATCTGTCCAAATTTGAGATTTTTGGTTCCAACCGCTGTGTCTTTGTGAGATGCGGTGTGGGTGAACGGATGATCTCCGCATGTGTATTTCTCATCGTAAAGCATGGAGGAGGTGGTGTTATGGTGTTGGGGTGCTTTGCTGGAGGCACACTTAACCAGCATGGCTACCACAGCATTCTGCAGCGATACGCCATCTGGTTTGGGCTTAGTGGGACTATCATTGGTTTTTCAACAGGACAATGACCCAACACACCTCCAGGCTGTGTAAGGGCTATTTTACTGAGAAGGAGAGTGATGGAATGCTGCATCAGATGACCGGGCCACCACAATCCCCCGACCTCAACCAAATTGAGATGGTTTTGGGATTAATCGGACCGCAGAGTGAAGGAAAAGCAGCCAACAAGTGCTCAGCATATGTGGGAACTCCTTCAAGACTGTTGGAAAAGCATTCCAGGTGAAGCTGGTTAAGAGAATGCCAAGAGTGTGCAAAGCTGTCATCAAGACAAAGGGTGGCTATTTGAAGAATCTCAAATATAAAATATATTTTGATTTGTTTAACACTTTTTTGGTTACTACATGATTCTGTATGTGTTATTTCATAGTTTTGATGTCTTCACTATTATTCTACAATGTAGAAAATAGTAAAATAAAGAAAAACCCTTGAATGAGTAGGTGTTCTAAAACTTTCGACTAGTAGTGTTATGTATATATGTGTATGTATGTGTATGTATATATAGATTTGCAAAAAAATGTATGGGGGAAGTGATGCAGACAATTACATTGATGGTAGCTACAACCTATCTGCAATATTAAAGCTGATCTACACCCTAAATGTGTTTATTTAATTTTAAAAAAGTACAAACAAACAACAAAGAGAAAATAACATTTAACAACGTGAAGAATAATAATAATAATAATAATAATAATAATAATAATAATAATAAATAATAATAGGCTCATTTGAATTAATTTAAAGATATTGGAACGTTTCCATTAGGACTATCTGAAAGCAATATGTTGCTGTTAAAACAAATAAATACAGCCTATTTGAAAGAAAGAATGGTTACATTTACAAAATAAATTCATACAATATTTTTGGGTGATGATGATTTAAAAATCCGCTGTGTGTGTGTGTCAGCGCTGATGGCACGCACGCAAGAAAAGGCAGAGCTGTTAGTTCGCTGTCTTATAAGAAAAACAATAACTAACTTGGCAAAAACAAATCGAAGTAGGACCAAATCAAATGTACAGGGCTGCAAAGTTTGCACAGGCTATCACAATTTAGGAAAACGTATGCATACAGTAAATAATTTCAACAGGATAACTCAACATTCAAACGAGATTGAGATTGTATTATGCTGGCTACAATTTCGCCTCAACATTATAATAAGCATGTATTTGTATTATGAAAACGAAAAAAATTAGAGACCTACTGAAAAATCTTAGTACATAAATATACATAAATTCCTGCACTGGGCCATAGCCAACATCGTATAACAACTTATAACAGAGGCATGATGATCATTGTTATAATGCTGAAGATTGCACATCTCTTTTTTAATCAGATGTTTCGAACTGTAGGCTTTCCTATTGAAAAGGGTCCCACGCCTTTTATATAAGGTTTTACTAGTGATTTGCGCGTGTTTTACATTTAACATTTAAGTCATTTAGCAGACGCTCTTATCCAGAGCGATTTACAAATGGACTTTTACCATGACAAAACAAAGAACACATGGCCACACACGAAATTATTTCTAAATGATAGGGGTTTCACAAACCTGCTTGTATTTAGCAATTATTGGGCCCATCCTTCATTTAACTACTACCACCATCATCAGCTGCAGGTAGCAATAAAGATGCTGAACTCAGCTGCGGGACAATAAATCCAATTGGGGTGCTGTCAGTTGCTCTCTGCCCAGATGCTATCGGTTAGTCCGAATGGGGTGGATTAAAAACGAAATGATTGCCGCTATGCGAGTTCTTTCTTTTCTGAAACTAAGGTTGCAAACATTGGGCTATCAGTTGTAGGAGATGAACAAGGCCTAAATTACCTGTTACATTTGTTTGAGTTTATTTTCACCTTTGGCTTAGCAGCAGCGTGTGAGAAACGAAATCATGAGCATCTTATCACGGAGGATTGTTGTATTATGTAAAACATAACGAAAATAATAAAGCTATATCGAAAGATGTGGTATCACCTCTGACGTATTACTGAAATACTTTCCCTATGTATAACATCTCATATCCACTGCAAGGCGGGCATATGTGTCAAGGAGGTGCGGCCAAGACAGTCAAAAGGAAAATGGAGAGGAAAAAGTTCCACCCTCACTAATGCAAAGACTGCTTTCGCTAGAGCATGGGGTTGGTGCAGCAGCCTCTGACACTGGATGGAATCTATATGGGACTATTCTCCTGGTGGATTTGTGTTTTCATCTAGGGCTACAAAGTGATGTATTGGAAAAGCGAACAAATGTTGGCTTGCTCCAAGGTGGATGACATTGAAAATGGGTTCAACTCGGCTTTCGACAGCACGGTAAGCCTATATCCATATTCAAAGTTTTAAGAAATTATCGGAGCATTCATTTAGCTAATTTTTCGATTTGATATGTTGCTATTAGGCCTACCATTGTTGTTTAAATAGCCTAACATTTTACCGAATGTAGGCTACTCCAAACCGACGGGCGACTGTTCCAAGTTACTGAAAATGTTAATAAGTTTAGATCTGAGGTGCCCACCCATTCGTTTTCTATGCACTAATCAGTGCATTACCTGAGGGAGTTTGCGTTACAGGCTAATCAAAATACATGGCTGCGTGCGCGTTGATTTGGAGAAGGCTGCCATGGCGATAATTGCCAAACAAATCTGTCTTTGATTTGGCCATTACGCTTTTTTGTTCAGTCATCTTCGTCCTAAATGTGATCATTTTACAAGAATTGCCCTTCTGCAGAGAACTAATTTGACTGACAACAGAAATGGATAGGCGTTGAGAACCATTAACGTTTTTTTGTTGCGAAAAGTGGTTGAACATTTCAAGAGTTTTGGTTCATGTATAAAAAAGAATAAAATGTGTTTAAAGTGTTCTTCAAGATGGCATCTTAGGCCTATTTTTCGTCGTGGTTGTCATAGCGAGCAGAAGTGGAGTAAAAGGCCATCTCCAATATATATTTTGCACCAACTTATTTTGACTAGTCACTATGCCTAAGTAGGGATGTGGAGGGGCATCTTCCGATGCTCTGAGCATAGGCGGACAAGTAGCCTAAGGAGGAGGAATCGGTAGCCAATTGTTTATAGTAGGCCTATGCGTAAAACCTTACCAGTGGAAATTAGGCCTATACCAAAACCTCGCCCGTGCCTTCATTTTAAATTTGTCATTAAGCATACTCTTATCCAGAGCGACTTAGTTAGTGCATTCATCTTAAAATAGCTAGGTGGGACAACCACGTCAGTCATAGTACTTACGTTTGTCCTCAAGTAGCTACCAGGAAAGTCAGAGATAGTAAGGGGGAAAACCGACATAGATTGGCCTGGCCAAATGTAGTCCTATGAAATTGTCCGTTATTTACGCATAGAAAAATGTTGCGTTATATCAGTATCATGACACTTATTTTGCTTTTTATTTATATATATTATATCTAGGGCACCTCGGATTACATTTTTGAAGACGAGTCATATTCACCATCTTCGTCTTTGTCTTCCTCGACACCGCAGACGATGGCATCAGCCTCTCTGGGGAAAAGCCTTTGTACAAGTTGTGGTTTGGAGATAGTCGACAAATACCTACTCAAGGTAAGTTGCCGAGCCTATGACCGGCTTAGATATTCAACCAAGGCCTAAAATGCGTATGTAATTTTGTTTCCCCCAACGTCCATAAACTCATAGGCCTAGGACCCCTAAAGTGTACACATTTTTAACTGTGACAGGAAAAAGTTTGCTGTAGGCCTATTTGGTAAATAAAACCACATTTCAGTGAAGCAAAATTGTTGACACACTAAACATTTACCATTAATTTTTTTATTTTATTTAACCGTTATTTAACTAGGCAAGTCAGTTAAGAACACATTCTTATTTACCATGACCGCCTACCAAAAGGCAAAAGGCCTCCTGCGGGGACGGGGGCTGGGATTACAAAAATTAATATATATAAATATTGGACAAAACACACATCACAACACTACATAAAGAGAGACCTAAGACAACATCATACTTGCCTAATTTTCGTGGATAAAGCTGTAGACGAAGCTACTCCTTTCGGTCGAATACATCTGATTGACTATGCTGTGGCTACATTTCAGGTGAACAACTTGTGCTGGCACGTGAACTGCCTGTCGTGCAACGTGTGCCAAACTCCTCTAGGAAGACATGTCAGTTGCTACATCAAAGAGGAGGTGGTTTTCTGCAAACTCGACTACTTCAGGTAGGTGAAAAAGGTGTCTTCTTCCATACAGGAGGGTTCTAGCGCGATTAGCCAAGTAAAACTCAACTCCACGATGTACTTCACATCAACTGAGAGGAGTTGAGTTTAGGCTACATCTGAAGTTGCAACTTTGACATGACAGATTCAATTGTTATCTAATGAAGTTAATGAGACTTTTACAAGGCGAGATAAGTGGCTCTTAACCTTATTGTTTGACCTTCTTACCTTGGGCCCTCTAGTATTTATAGCCACACCATTGTCACACTTCTATATGGCCTTCAATTTACATTTAATGCATTTTTATTGGGACAATCTTGTATTTCTAGATTCATGATCAAATAATTGTATGTTGATATAAAAATGTTTAAAATAGTTAACATATCATTTTCTAAAATGGCTACCCTGCCTTTAGTGGTTTTGGTCTGTAGTTAATCTGTAGTTTGTATTATGTATGTATTTATTAGAAAGTGTGTACTGTAGGCTACTGTACAAACACCCCCACGGCATGTTAAAAAGTACCATCCAACTTTCCCACAGGAAGTATGGAACTCGCTGTGCCAACTGTGGCAGGAACATGCACTCCAAAGACTGGGTGAGGAGAGCGAAGGGCAACACCTACCACCTGGCCTGCTTCGCCTGCTTCTCCTGCAAGCGCCAGCTCTCCACGGGGGAGGAGTTTGCCCTGGTGGAGGAGAGGGTGCTATGTCGTGTCCACTACGACTGCATGCTTGACAACCTGAAACGGGCCATGGAAAGTGGTAAGCAACATTACAGGTGTGTAGAAAGAAGAATAAGGCCTGCATTTTGAAAAATTAGTTTATTGTACACTAGCCTTTTTTCTACACACTTATGATTTGATGTAGCAATTTAATTTTGGCTCATTCTTTTGAAACATTAATTGATAACTATGAGATTCTAGATTTTCCCTTATCAATTAGCCTTCCTCATTCTCCTATGCAATGTGATGACCTATGTGGTTACATGTCCTTACATGAAAAGGTGTTAATGTAGAGGGAGCCCTGCCATCAGAGCAGGAAGGGTCCCAGCCCAAACCAGCTAAGAGGGCTCGCACTAGCTTCACCGCAGACCAGCTACAGGTGAACATTTATTACTTTCCTGTCACTCCAGAAACGACTGTCCTGCATGTTTGCAAATGAAAGTGCCAAAACAATACTAGGAACAGTATTAATGATTGTGTGTGCGCGCATCTTACATTCTCTGTATCTTGTCTGTCAGGTGATGCAGGCCCAGTTTGCTCAGGACAACAACCCAGACGCTCAGACCCTCCAGAAGCTGGCAGAGAGGACTGGCCTCAGTCGCAGAGTCATTCAGGTGAGCGCTCTAACATTAGTCTAGTCAAACAATTCTAGGTGTCCCTGAAGTTAAAGGAAGCTTAACCCATCCCTATTCAATATCCAGGTTTGGTTCCAGAACTGTCGAGCTCGTCATAAGAAGCATGTGAGCCCCAACCACCACGTGCCATCTGCAGCGATGTCGTCACTACAGCAGTCCAGGCTTTCTCCGCCTCTCATGGACGATCTACACTACACATCCTACATAACAGACACACCCATGCTTACAACACTACACACTTACATGGATGGTGAGCAAAACCGGCACCAGTACATCACAGGTTCATATTTTGTTATGGCCTGTGGGTTAAGCTTTCTTTGTAACATCTTATTAGTTTTGCTTTAGAATTCAGTGCAAAGATCTGAAATCACAATATTACTATAACCCAATGGGTTTTGGACTAACACTATTATGTTTGTGTTCTTCACAGTGCACTCTCCCTCCTCACTGGTGTTCCAGCCTCTTTTATCCCATTCCATGACACAGCTGCCAATCAGCCATGCCTGATCTTCACATCCCGTCTCCTGCAGAAGCGGCCCTTACCATTGGTCAGAATGCTGAGGAGCCAATGCGATACTCCTGTCCATCAAAGGGTGGGGTGCAACATTATTTGCTATGGGGGTTTATCGAAGGAGATACAATTATCCACATTTTTTTCAATGTAAAATAAGGTTTATATGTAAACTTTTTGTTAATGTATTGTAGCCTATATTGGTTGGCATTTAATTTATTTGATGTATATGTGACTGAGCACTTTGTTTAAAAAAATTAAATACTAATGATTAAATGGATTACTTAGTTTCTGGGGTGTGTGTGGTGTGTACACTGATCAAAAATATAAATGGAATATGCAACAATTTCAAAGATTTTTACTGAGTTACAGTCCATATAAGGAAATCAGTCAATTGAAATAAATTAATTAGGCCCTAATCTATGGATTTCATATGACTGGGAAAACAGATATACAGTGCCTTCGGAAAGTCTTAAGACCCCTTTACTTTTTCCACATTGTTACGTTACAGCCTTATTCTAAAATGGATTAAAAAAAAAAAATCTGCAATCTACACACAATACCCTATAATGACAAAGCGAAAACAGGTTTAGAAATCTTAGCAATTTTTTTTAACATACCTTATTTACGTAAGTATTCATACCCTTTGCTATGAGACTTGAAATTGAGCTCAGGTGTATCATGTTTCCATTGATCATCCTTGATGTTTCTACAACTTGATTGGAGTCCACCTGTGGTAAATTCAATTGATTGGACTTGATTTGGAAAGGCACAAAACTGTCTATATATGGTCCCACAGTTGACAGTGCATGTCAGAGCAAAAACCAAGCCATGAGGTCGAAGGAATTGTCCGTAGAGCTCCGAGACAGGATTGTGTCGAGGCACAGATCTGTGGAAGGGTACCAAAAAATGTCTGCAGCATTGAAGTTCCCCAAGAACACAGTGGCTTCCATCATTCTTAAATGGAAGAAGTTTGGAACTACCAAGACTCTTCCTAGAGCTGGCCACCTGGCCAAACTGAGCAATGTGGGAGAAGGGCCTTGGTCAGGGAGGTGACCAAGAGCTCTAGAGTTCCTCTGTGGAGATGGGAGAACCTTCCAGAAGGACAACCATCTCTGCAGCACTCCACCAATCAGGCCTTTATGGTAGAGCGGCCAGACGGAAGCCACTCCTCAGTAAAAGGCACATGACAGCCTGCTTGGAGTTTGCCAAAAGGCAACTAAAGACTCTCAGACGATGAGAAACATTCTCTGGTCTGATGAAACCAAGATTGAACTCTTTGTCCTGAATGTCAAGCGTCACGTCTGGAGGAAACCTGGCACCATCCCTACAGTGAAGCATGGTGGTGGCAGCATCATGCTGTAGGGATGTTTTTCAGCGGCAGGGACTGGCCAAGAGTGTGCTAAGCTGTCATCATGGCAAAGGGTGGCTATTTGAAGAATCTTAAATATAATATATTTTGTTTAACACTTTTTTGGTTACTACATGATTCCATATGTGTTATTTCATAGTTTTGATGTCTTCACTATTATTCTACAATGTAAAAATAAAAAACCCTTGAATGAGTAGGTGTGTCCAAACTTTTGACTGGTAGTGTATATATACAGTGGGGGAAAAAAGTATTTAGTCAGCCACCAATTGTGCAAGTTCTCCCACTTAAAAAGATGAGAGAGACCTATAATTTTCAACATAGGTACACGTCAAATATGACAGACAAAATGAGAAAAGAAAATCCAGAAAATCACATTGTAGGATTTTTTATGAATTTATTTGCAAATTATGGTGGAAAATAAGTATTTGGTCAATAAAAGTTTCTCAATACTTTGTTATATACCCTTTGTTGGCAATGACACAGGTCAAACGTTTTCTGTAAGTCTTTGTTACTTTGGTCCCAGCTCTCTGCAGGTCATTCACTAGGTCCCCCCGTTTTGACCCCACGGGGTGAGATCTTGCGTGGAGCCCCAGATCGAGGGAGATTATCAGTGGTCTTGTATGTCTTCCATTTCCTAATAATTGCTCCCACAGTTGATTTCTTCAAACCAAGCTGCTTACCTATTGCAGATTCAGTCTTCCCAGCCTGGTGCAGGTCTACAATTTTGTTTCTGGTGTCCTTTGACAGCTCTTTGGTCTCGGCCATAGTGGAGTTTGGAGTGTGACTGTTTGAGGTTGTGGACAGGTGTCTTTTATACTGATAACAAGTTCAAACAGGTGCCATTAATACAGGTAACGAGTGGAGGACAGAGGAGCCTCTTAAAGAAGAAGTTACAGGTCTGTGAGAGCCAGAAATCTTGCTTGTTTGTAGGTGACCAAATACTTATTTTCCACCATAATTTGCAAATAAATTCATTAAAAATCCTACAATGTGATTTTCTGGATTTGTCATAGTTGACGTGTACCTATGATGAAAATTACAGGCCTCTCTCATCTTTTTAAGTGGGAGAACTTGCACAATTGGTGGCTGACTAAATACCCTTTTCCCCCAATGTATAATCTATTTAACCTCCACTCTTCTGGGAAGGCTTTCCACTAGATGTTGGAACATTGCTGCGGGGACTTGCTTCCATTCAGCCACAAGAGCATTAGTGAGGTCGGGCACTGATGTTGGGCGAGTAGGCCTGGCTCGCAGTCAGCGTTCCAATTAATCCCAAAGGTGTTCAATGGGGTTGAGGTCAGGGCTCTGTGCAGGCCAGTCAAGTTCTCGACAAACCATTTCTGTATGGATCTCGCTTTGTGCACAGGGGCATTGTCATGCTGAAACAGGAAAGAGCCTTCCCCAAACTGTTGCAACAAAGTTGGAAGCACAGAATCATCTAGAATGTTATTGTATGCTGTAGCATTAAGATTTCCCTTCACTGGAACTAAAGGTCTAGCCCGAAACATGAAAAACTGCCCCAGACCATTATTCCTCCTCCACCAAACTTTACAGTTGGCACTATGTATTGGGGCAGGTAGTGTTCTCCTGGCATTAGCCAAACCCAGATTAGTCAGTCGGACTGACAGATGGTGAAGCGTGATTCATCACTCCAGAGAACGCATTTCCACTGCTCCACAGTCCAATGGCGGCGAGCTTTACACCACTCCAGCCAACGCTTGGTATTGCGCATGGGGATCTTAGGCTTGTGTGCAGCTGGTCGGCCATGGAATCCCATTTCATGAAGCTCCCGACTAACAGTTATTGTGCTGAAATTGCTTCCAGAGGCAGTTTGAAACTCGGTAGTGAGTGTCGCAACCCAGGACAGATGATTTTTACGCACTATGTGCTTCAGCACCCGGCGGTCCCGTTCTGTGAGCTTGTGTGGACTTCGCGGTTGAGCCATTGTTGCTCCTAGACATTTCCACTTTACAATAACAGCACTTACAGTTGACCGGGGCAGCTCTAGCAGGGCAGAAATGTGAAGAACTGACTTATTGGAAAGGTGGCATCCTATGACAGTGCCACGTTGAAAGTCACTGAGCTCTTCAGTAAGACCATTCTATTGCCAATGTTTGTCTATGGAATTGTGTGCTCGATTTTATACACCTGTCAGCAACGGGTGTGGCTGAAATAGCCGAATCCACTAATTTGAAGGGGTGTCAACATACCTTTGTATATATAGTGTATAAGTAGGACACGTGACATCCTGGCAACTTTGAGAAAATTATATCAGAGTTGTCTCGAGATGGCTATGCATATTCATGGCATGATGCTAGTAGCATAGCATCTCTCTCCACTGACTAAAGGCAGTTGATGTCAACAACCCTCATCGAATATTCAAAAAAGGATTACAATAATACCACCAATCCAAAGAAATGATAGGCAGGTGCGACTCCCATTGTTAGGGCGGAGAGACGAGTATCTTGTCAGTATATCCATAATCTTTGGTTGGAAATAAGGGATCTATTCAATCTGCATCGAGGAAGTTCAGCTTTACAGCTTGGTTGAAATTTAAAGGCAATGTTCCCGCTTTAGTGGAGATTCCATTCATGGTAAACGCTGCATATTTTGGCTCAAATTAACTTAACATTTCAATAGCAGAATCTGTAACACTTTAGTGTTACAGATTGAATAGAGCCCTCAGAGTTGAAAAGACAAACTCAAAACAAGGAAGAATAGACGGGTAATTGGGATTTATGGGTTCTACAGTGATTTTGAAGTAGGCTTTAGCTGCAATAGCTGTAGCTTTGCACAATATTTAAATATTGCCCATCATGTTTTCACACTGTAGAAATTGTTGATGGTGTAAACGCATTACATGGCACATGAAATACTGTAAAGCACATGGAACTATTCAAATGCTTTTTATTTATAAAGGTCACTTCACATTCTCATTGACTCAATTTTACAAAAGAAAATCCCAAATTAAATATACATCCCAAAATGTAGAAAAGAGCATGTACATGTAATTTACATTATAAAAAGGTAGCACTTTTTTCATCTGTACCACCACTGAAGTACAAATTCTACCAAAATGGCATTGACATCCTTCAATTGCCCAAAAAAAGGAGCTCAATTTACAATA